TATAACTGTAAAAGAAGCTATATTAAATGAAGAATAGAAAATATAGGGTAAAGACCCTAGCGCCAAAAGACAGAAAATAGACCAAAATTAATGAGGGAAAATGTCTAAAGGAAAGCTTGGCGGGAGAGTAGCAAAGGGTTAAAATCCTTTTGATTGACGTTGTAGCCTCTGGTGCCCCGGGCTTAGGCGCGCGCCATTGGCCGCCAGGCCTTGCGCCTCGCGGCCAATGGGGGGGCGCGGTCCACGAGCGGTGCCGCGTGTCTCCTCCTCCCATTGGCTGAAAGTTACTGTGGGAAAGAAAGTTTGGGAAGTTTCACACGAGCCGTTCGCGTGCAGTCCCAGATATATATAGAGGCCGCCAGGGCAGAGGGAGATCACACAGGATCCGGAGCTGGTGCTGATAACAGCGGAATCCCCTCTCTACCTCTCTCCTTGGTCCTGGAATAACTGCCGATTATCAAGCAGCCATTACTATTATAATAAAACCTCCGCACTTGCTCAGTAATTTTATGAAAGTCTCAAGTAAGAGAGACATACACCAAAATTTTTGCGTGAAGGAGTGAAAAGATATAATTGTCTAGGGGTTAAAAAAAAAAAAAAAGAAAATGCCAGCTGATATAATGGAGAAAAATTCCTCGTCCCCGGTGGCTGCCACTCCAGCCAGTATCAACACTACACCAGATAAACCAAAGACAGCATCTGAGCACAGAAAGGTAAGGGCGGAACCTGTATCTCTCTGCAACTCCAAGAAATTGGTTGGGGGGGGGGTCCCTTTCCCCCTTCCTTCACTTCCTTCAGATTTCATATTGAAACGGCAGTTGCCCTGGAAACTCAGGTTTCTTTCTTATTTCTTTGCAGTCCTCAAAGCCTATCATGGAGAAAAGACGAAGAGCAAGAATAAATGAAAGTCTGAGCCAGCTGAAGACACTAATTTTGGATGCTCTTAAGAAAGATGTAAGTGGGGAGATGTTTTTGGTTGGTTGTGGGGTTTTTTTAAAAAAATTATTATTCTTCTAAAAGTAAATAAGGCTTATCAGCGGCGTAGGATGAAGCCGCGCTGGCCAGTGGCATTTCCCCGTTCAACGCCGTATTCTGTAGGCGGGAGAGGGTCTGGGATATTGGCGCCGGGACTGGGAGGGTGGGACTCCAGCTTGCCGAGGTCGCAGGCAGGGGTCTCACTTTCCTCCCGCTTTGCCTCCTCCCCGGTGCAGAGTTCGCGGCATTCCAAGCTGGAGAAGGCGGATATCCTGGAAATGACAGTGAAGCACCTCCGGAACCTGCAGCGGGCGCAGATGACGGGTAAGGGCGGCTTGCCGCGTCCCCTCTGCGGGCGTCCCTGTGGCCCCGCGGTGATTTCTTCCAGACTTCCGCCCGTGGTTGTGAGAGGCATTCAGCCACATTTTACTGCCTTGGCTCACGCTCGCGTTCCCACGGTCTGGGGCTTATTTATAGCCACAACTCCAAGTTGTTACTGTTCCGGAAAGGGAGGGAAAGGAGAGGTTATAGCCGCGAGAGTGGCAGGCGGCTCGGTGTAGAGGAAGTTGGTGGGGGCGGGCGGATTTAGGACCACGGCGGTTTTGAGCTGCATTAAGTCTGGGAGTCATCTGGTTTCGTGGCCCAGTTGATAGAAGGGGGAATGAAGCATGGATGACAAGGGGGGCGTATTGTCCAAGAGCACTGCAAGCGCGCGAGGAAGGGGGCAGAGCAGTGGTCGGTTTAAGTGGAATGACAGGGCGTGGAGAGCGCCTAGCGTGTGTGGCCAGATGGCTGGTTTTTGTAAACCCACCCCAGCCGGAGGCAGTGAGTGCAGCGGGCCGCGGGACCTCCCAGGGCGGGAGGGGCCAGAGCCGTTCGGTGACCCGCTGTCTCCTTGTGACCCGCAGCCGCGCTGAGCACAGACCCGAGCGTGCTGGGGAAGTACCGCGCCGGCTTCAGCGAGTGCATGAACGAGGTGACCCGCTTCCTGTCCACGTGCGAGGGCGTGAACACCGAGGTGCGCACCCGGCTGCTCGGCCACCTGGCCAACTGCATGACCCAGATAAACGCCATGACCTACCCCGGACAGCCGCACCCCGCCTTGCAGGCGCCGCCGCCGCCCCCGCCTGGCCCTGGGGGCCCCCAGCACGCGCCTTTCGCGCCGCCGCCGCTGGTGCCCATCCCCGGGGGTGCGGCGCCCCCTCCCGGCGGCGCGCCGTGCAAGTTAGGAAGCCCGGCGGGCGAGGCGGCCAAGGTTTTCGGCGGCTTCCAGGTCGTGCCGGCTCCTGACGGCCAGTTTGCCTTTCTCATCCCCAATGGGGCCTTTGCTCACAGCGGCCCGGTCATCCCTGTCTACACCAGCAACAGCGGGACCTCTGGGGGTCCCAACGCAGTGTCGCCTTCCAGTGGCCCCTCGCTCACGGCGGACTCCATGTGGAGGCCGTGGCGAAACTGAAGGGGCTCCTACCACCCTTCCAACTCCCCAATCCACCTCTCTTCCCCTCTGGACACTAGAGACTTATATGCTGAGGAGGAAGAGGACTTTTGTGATTAAGTGATTACTTTGTTGTTTTTTTTAATTTCTAAAAAGTTACTTTTTGTAGAGAGCTGTAATAAGTGACTGACCATGCACTATATTTGTATATATTTTATATGTTCATATTGGATTGCGCCTTTGTATTATAAAAGTTCAGATGACATTTCGTTTTTTACACGAGATTCCTTTTTTATGTGATGCCAAAGATGTTGGAAAATGCTCTTAAAATGTCTTCCTTTTGGGAAGTTTATTTGAGAAAATATAATAAAAGAAGTACCGATTTTTTTTTTATGTCTTGGAATTATTTAAGAATATGTTAGGCTCTTGGCAGAATTTTAATTCTGTGTGGTCTAGGGATTTTTAAAAATTTGTTGTCTTAAAATGTAAGAGGCTCAAAAGTTATATAAAAAAAGAAACATTTTATGCAATCTGTCAAACTTATTACAACCCTTAATGAGCTCTAAAAGACTCAACTCCATTGAATGAACAAGAACTAATGAGATATGGCTTCCTGGCCCATTTGTGGTTACTCCCTTCAAGGATTTAAAAAAATTTTTTTTTCAATTTCAGTTGGGCAAGTTACTCACTGGTCCTAACACCAGCATCTGAGGAAGGCTGAATGGGACTGATACCATGAAGTAAAACTTCCAAACCACTGGTCTGGTTGCATATTCATGCAGGGCAGTTAACTGCAGTACCAGGACTTCAGTGGGGTAGTTTACCAAGATCCAGAATAAAAGCACTCAGCTGCTACAGCTTTAGTGTGGGGGTCTTCATTAATTAGTCCACCCTTTTATAAGTGCAGCTAGACATGGCCTTGCACCAGCAGGCAGGAGTTTGAAACGCCTCTCTGCACCCTCTTCAAGCAAGCTGAGAAGGTCAACAGATTCCTTCTGCCAAGGGACAGCTAGTTAGACTCCCAAGTGGAGCCGGAACCCAGATGATTAACGCCAGACATGTGTTTTTGATAAGTTTCTGTGCTTGGCTCTAATAGAGAAAGCATGTGGGCCTGGCCTGGCAGGCACACTGGCTATCTTCCCCTTTTAATACAAACAGCAAGCGACCCCTTCCCTTGGTCATGCCCCATTTCCAGGCAAGATGTGGGCTCCAGATAGAAGCAAAAGGGTTGTCTCAGGTTTCAGCTCACATAACCCTCCTTAACAAGTCCTAACTCAAAGCGGACAGCTTTAAACTGTGCCAGGATCTGCAGGGAATTTCTTCCAAATCCCATCACAAAGGCTTGTCAGATTTTGTCAGATTTGGCCAGGTGTTTGACTGCATCCAGGTGTTGGGGAAATGAAAACCACGAGTCCTGCGAGACCAGACACATCAGGCGCGCTGTGGGTCTGGCGGGCGCGCCCTCCTCCCGCACCGCTGGCCAGAGCACTCCCCGCCCTCGCGCCTCCCGCGGGCCTCCGCCCGCCCCCCTCTTCTCAGTATGGCTTCTGGGAGGAGAAGGATGAGGCGGGAGAGATCAATCTTTGAAGCCTTCCTAACAAAGATAAAGCCAACGATTTTCTGTCTTGTTTCAAAAGCTTTACCTCTCCCCCGCCTTGCCCAGGCCTTTTCCCACAGGCCCGTGTGGACAGCGGCTCTATCCCAGAAATTACCTAGCAGACCGCAGTCAGTTTTCGCTTCAAATGCCTTCATATTACGCTTCCCTGAAGAAAGGTTTAAAAATTTGTTTTATTTGACTCCTACTTGCTTTATTTTGTACATGAAGGATGTCCATTATCCACCCCAACCCCCAATAAATACATATTTCTTTTTTCATGTCATTTTGGGCAGTTTTTCTCATTTAAGTACAAATAGAACAACTGTTCCTTGGAGACACTCAACCCAAACTCACATAGTTGCTTTGCTGACCTGTGGCTCCACTAGGAGTCCTTTAGCAGTCCTGGAGAAATACCTACTATATCAAGGTCCAGTTTTGCAGAAGGACGTCCCTTACACTTATGATCTTGAAAATTCACAGAAAGACACTGCCATCTCCACGCTGAAAGAAAACGATTTGAAAGGGCGCAGGTTTACTTACTTAAATATCATCCTCAGAGAAACACAGAGTGAAGAAAAAGTAAACTTTTGTCCATATGCAACTGATTAGAAGTTTGAAAGGACAATTCCCCTTCACCCTCACCTCCGCCCTTCACCCTCACCTCCGAAATCTAGAGGCTAGAATATCATTTGTTCTGTATAGTATGCAGTTGGGGTAAAGACCTTTGGACTTAGAAGGTTCTTGCTCTGGCTTTGCTATAAAACTGTGTCACCTTGGATAAGCCATTTCCTTTCTCTGGGCCCTTCACTCCTTACCCTCCAGCGTCTTGTCTCTGGAGTCAGTCAGTAGCAGGGAAGAGGCAACATTTCAAAAATACCGACCCTACTGCCCTCCCCACCCCCCAGGCCTGATTACCAGCCGTGGGGCACACCCAGCAGTGCTGATCACGCCAGGAGATAAGGCGCAGCTATGCTTCTGCTGCCTCTTGCGTTAACTTCTCAATGAACACCCTTCCCGCACGGCTCTTCCACTGTCCTCCTCACCATGCGGAGGGAGAAGTGCGCCCAGCTGGAAGGGGGGGGGGGCCATTTGGTTAAGCCAAGTTTTCTCTAAGCAGTGCGTTAACGCCACGCGGAGGTGCGCCCCATCCCACCCCACATGTTTCTGGAGTAGGGACCCCGAGGTTAAATATGACCTCCTCATCTTCCCCACCGTCCCGGGAAGCCTGTCATTAAAGTCAATTAACTTTTCCCACACCCTTGGCCGGTAACAATTCGCTAGCTTCCTCCTGGGTTCCTAAATGCAACCAGATGGGCAGACGAGCTGTCCCTGCTCCAATGGCGCGCGCCCGCCGGTCAGCCCGGGGGTTGCAGGGACACCGTGGGGACCCGTGGCCCGGGGCGGGATCGGGGCAGGGAGGCCACGTTGGGCCGGTCCCGGCGGCCCTACGGCCAAGGTGGTTTGCTTAGCAGGCCCGGCTGCTTTCTGGCAGGAAATGAATAGCTCCCAGATGAGCTCAGGCAACCTGAGAAGTCGTGAGAACGGCGCGA